TTGGTCGTAGAAAAGGTATGTAACGCGTTTGATAAACTTCACTAGACACTCGTTATTAAACACTCGCTCTGCTCGTGCCTAACATAACGTTCCTTTCTAAAGTGTCGTTTATAAAACTTGATGCATAATATACTATCATATACATAGTGAAAGGTTTTACGACACTGTATGCCGATGACCCCTCATCAATCATTCGTGCGGCGGGTGCTCCTGGCTTAATGTATACTAGTAAAAAGTAACAATAATGTTTCTATCTGCGATAAACGATTATTATATACAACTTTCGCGATATTACTATGTGATTTGGCAATTGGGTGTTGCGTAGACAAAAAGGTATTGCTATATTTTTCTATTCCTTCATAAATTGTTCCTAACCTTCTATCTGGAAATGTTTGGTTTAAATAAATCTGGACATTGTGCACAGGAACACTGTCTTATTGAAAATAAATTGATTGGGATTGGGAATATCATCTAGAAAATTTTCGAACTCGTTTTGCAAGCAAGAAATTGAGTACAATTTACATTATATGAAAGGTCTGATAATCTCCACACCAACCAAACATTTAAACCGAATTGGAGTTGGGGTCTTTTTTTACTGGTAAAATTCGACTCGCCGCTCCATAGTAGGTAAGTACGCGTCTTCATATTTGTGGGTTTTTGCTTTGAATATAAAATTAGGAAGAAGTCTAAGGCTGTACTTTCGCGTGGGTCTCTAAAAGTACCTTGAGCGATAGATGGAGCCACGAAATGAACGTGAAAAGTAGGTACCTTTGGATTTATATGCGCGCTTTCCTAATTTTATATTTAAAGGTTTATGTCATATTTGTTAATTAGTAATTGACAAAACTCCATTCTTGTTTCTGTATCACCTTGCACTAAATTTATTTTATAACCTTGATATTTTTTAAAGAATTGTCCAAACGGGTGCATGGGATAATTAAGTAATTTCTGCCATTTGTCTATATGTATAGTAGTAAAGATACAGTCAACAAGTTGTATGTGGTACAGGTTACTATTACTAGCTCTTTGGAAATTACTGATTTTGTCTCTTACTTTTATTGCTATCATTGTCCCTTAATTATTTTGTTACTCGAAAAATTTGAGATGAGATTCGCAACTGAACCAACCCATAACAAATTGTTTTTTTGAAACTATTTTAAAAATTACTTTAGTATCTAAAAAGAGTTAAGAAAACGTTATTTTCCTCTCTAATGAGGAATGTAAAAAAACAATTGCCGGTTTAATCTTAATAAAGACATTTAAAATTCAAACATGCCTTATGTCGATTGCTATCTGTTAAACTTCATTATTGCATACGATAATTTTTCAATTTTGATCGTAGTTTCAGACAAAATTTGTAAAAAACTTGAGAAGAAAGTGTTTTTCAACCGTCCATCTTTCTTTTGTAGTTGTACAAATACCTTTTTTTTCATTTTTTGAACGTGCAGAACACTGGATAAGTATTCAACTTTATACTTATAGGCTTATAGTAATCTGTGACACTACCAATCCACTTCAGATTCGACCCTATACTGTTATTCCCAAGTGCGTGGTACTAGTTGCAACTCGAATGTGTATCATATTACCATGATTATTAATTAGAAGGTTTTTAAATTTTGGTATTTGTATTGTATCGTATGGGCGGCACTCCATAGGTACAGACATTTTGAAATTGCACCAACAAGCGACCATTTCTTAAAAATTCCTTCTGAAGAACATTTTTGTGCCCTTGGGCCACAATTCATTCGATATATGTGATACAATTATAGCAATAACAAAAAAGTTTCTCGCATGGTAAATTTTTCTCTACGCGGATAATAAATGCGCGATTTTGTAGGGCCTGTTAAAACTATAGGTAGGTACTAATACCAGATAAGGCATTATATACGCATAATTGGAGGCGCATATCATTCTAGTTTAAGACACCGAAAGGATTATAATGATATAGTTCCTGGACAAAGAAATATGATGATGGAAAGATAGAAAAACGCGTATTTACTAACATCGTTTTATCTCCAATACTTTAAACCTAAAAATTAATTATTTTTAGTGTTATTTAAAATTAACGAACACCATAATTTTATTGTATGTACTACTGAGAAGCTCTCATTGAAATTTCGTGGCTCTATGATGAACGGATCCGGAGTAAAAAAATAAATAGTGGAACCGCGCACGGATTTTTCATAAGCCGTAATGTAAGTATTTCATATGACTCCTAACGTCACGTGACTTTTTCGAGCGCTCCGGCCTGTAAGTATCGTAGGCCTCGGTTCAATACATCCCAGACGAACGAAATCAAAAATACAAAAGCCAAAACACCAATATTTAAATTAATGCATAGATATATAAATACCTAGATACAGCCATCCTTAACAAACGTACCTCGGTTTTTAAAAAACATATCAAAGAAATTTGTACATCTCTCCATTACTTTCTAACCAAGAAGAAACATGTTCTATCTCTTTTTATTGCATTAACTTCTATGTCGTACGCGAATCGGACGCTTAAAACAAACTTAGCGCGTCCCATAAGTCATGTGACAGTTGACACATTTCACGATCGCGCGAAATCAAATCTAACTAAATGGCCGGTTTATTCACTAAATATTATGTAATTATTGCGTTATCAATGGAATACGAATAACATTAGTGCTTGCCATAATGATAGACGCGTCCATAATTGTTATTCCTGAAATAGTTTTATTAGATAGAGCTACGCCATTCAAATTTGGGACTATGTTTACCTTGTTTGGCATGATGTGCTGCAGTGAATTCATTGCTGGCTTACAGAATACCAAAAAAACCGTAAGTAAAGTTTATGTTCAACATTTTAATTTTAATTGCATGGTTTTAGGCGTATTGGTAACGGAGATTAAGTTGCGACAGGAAGTGAATTCGTTTCCAATTATCATTTTGGCCTATATGATGTTGATGCAGTGCGTTTGTATCATATGATCACAAAGAAGGATCCGTGCAATATTCTTAGGAAAACGAGATTTATAGACTGTGTGTGCGTGCAATATCAAATTTTGGTCGCTACGCGTCTTGCCTCCCTTTCGGCATATGTTGTACAATCGGTGGGGTTTCTTTTTGAAATTATAGTGCTAATTGTAGTAAGTAAGCTACACGCCGTGTACATTTATTTAAAATAAATACAACATCTTAACAATGATATCCAATTGGTGATAATAATCATTTAGTCAACATTCATTACGTTTGTAAAAGTTCACAATCCGAATCATCATCAGATGAAATTGACAAATCCGAATCATCACTGTCAACTTCAGAAACATCAACCAATATAACTTCTCTTTTAAATTAATCACTTTCCACATGTTCACACACTTTCTTCCAGTTGTCAGCTGTAATTTTTTCAAATTCTTCATTTGCCAGCTTTCTAAATAACATCTTCCATTTTAAATGTAACATTTCTTTGCTGCTATGCAATTTAAATAAATAAAAAGGCGGTTTATTTATGTTGTAAAGTCTCAAATTTGATAATTTTCTGTGTGATTTGTGCTAACAATTTGATTGACAGTTATAATAAATAATGCGAATCTTGCCTTCCATGCTCAGGGTACCTCTATAAAGGATAGCGCTATACGTAATTAATGTGCCGAAAGTGATGGTAATAGATGGTACGTCCTTTTGAACTATGTTGGGGTATGGCTGTATCTATGTATTTATATATCTATGAATTAATGAATGTGAGAGCGCGATCTGTATTCGTTTTAAGCAGTTATTTTGGCTGCATAAAATTAAGCTCCTTTCAGAAGAGATTTTGTCATTTTAAAGTAGACATAGGGAAAAACAGTACACATAACTCACTATGTCTACTCCTTGATAAATAACAATGTATATCATCAGCAAAACTAAATACTTTACCGCGAGTATAATGTTCCAATATATTACTAATTTAATGCTAAAAAGGATTGATCCAAGTAAAGTTCCTTGTGGTACCCCAAACTGAACTACCTCTGTATTATTAAAATTTGTACGTCCTTTAACAAAAAGAGTTAGCCCAAAGGTGCTTACCTTTCTGGGCGGTTTCACAAACGATGATTAAGGTCAATGAATGATTAAATCCACCGTTGATTATACACTCATTTGTTTCCCATTCTAATATTTTTAATAAGTGATTACTCTCAATCATCGTTTGTGAAACCGGGCATATAAGTTTAGTAACTTTGCTTCTATTTAACCAACTTCACAGCTCTTAAGATACTTAACCGAAACCCTCAAGAGCCCGAAAAATGAACACCCTGTATAAACAATTTTATTTCAATCTGATTTGGAGGCCATAGTACCTACACAAATAAAAAATACTATCATGAACGTCAACCTTGTTTGGATAATGAAATTAACAGTTTAAGAAAAATGGTGGATATAGGTACCATCCACATTATTTTTGATTTTCGGTAAAAATGATTTTACGAACTATAGGTACCTACCCGCAGAAGTTCTGTACAAGGTACCGTTTACTACCCATGTTCCCAATAATTTAGTTGAGCAACGTATCATTCTGAAACTTGTTATCTGTAAGGCTATTTAGGGCAAAAGGAAAGTTGTTACGAATTTTCACGTAGGTACATACTTGGCGGTTGAGTAAATTCATACAAGTTTTTTCAAATACGCACCCTAAAAGTTCATTTAACTGTTGAACGGTCTTACATACTTTTTGAAAGCCTAAAATGCTCTCGGATATCATAAATGCTAATCATATGTACCGCTTAAAAAATCGTTTGAGCCATGTTGCAATATAGAATGAAATGACAGTCCTTATTTCATTTTCCTACAACTACAATTATAGTCAAATTTAGACAATTATTCTTTCTATTGGTATATGCAGATTAGGTAGTGTACGTACCTACTTCGTCCTTTACGTAGGGTTTTCATAAATCGGAGCAATTTTTGTAAGTGCATAAATTTAGACTATAATTATTGAAAATATCTCCCTTCCGAAATTAGGTTTTTCCAAAATTTGAATGTAACAACACTCACCGAGAAATTCGGCAGATGTGCACGACGCACCAAAACTGGCAGATGCGGCAGCGGCGATGTGACCAAAATGTAAGGGATGATGTAAAATCGGTCGTTGAGGCGACGCCGGATTAGGTCTAGGAGCTAAAATACTGTCAATCGTAAACAGGGACGAGCTTGTGGACGATGCGACGGTCGCCGTCACCGGCGTCGAGCGCGTCATTCTTTGCACCGGTTTAAAGCCTTCGCCGGCGAAAAACATATTGCCTAGAAAACTGTGGGGATTCCATATATTTGACGATGTACCTATTTGGTGGTGTTGCTGGTGGTTTGCCGTTTCGACCATTTTAAAATCGTCCTCAGAGAAACTTTCCTCGTGGTAATCTGAGGGCACCGCGCTAGATTCCCCGCACCAATCTAGATCCGATTCCCTCTTTATGGTTGCCAGCGTGAAAACTTTTAACTAAACCTCAATTAAATGGGCGCAATTTTATTAGAAATCATGTCATTTAGTAGGTATGCGTCTCGCACAATCTCACACACGTTTACTTAACTTAGCCAATATTTAATTACTTGCTGAACACGTGTCTTAATATACCTATACTAAACAAAATGTAGGCAGCCTGCCGTCTCCAAACAACAAAGTGACTGAAAGTTGAAGGTCCATTTCGTTTGAAAATGTAAAGCTACGCCTCCTATAATTCTATTGGATCCCATTCACCCTTAACATGCTAAACGGCCAATCGGCGAGCGTAATTCTCATCCCTTATCCTATTTAAGCTTGTATCGTGTTCATCCTGGGGTGAACTGTAACGATATGCTGATCTAAATGGGACAAATAGAGCTGTCACTTTGAAATCTGATATAGCCGTAACGCGAAGGGTAGCATTGTATGCGTGGATCTGCATTTTATTGTTTGACGTATTGTTGCTCACGTACTAATGGATGCAGGAAACGCAAAAGCTGCTCTGATTCGTCAGTATTAAAAGCTTATACTTTGATGTGACAACGATTTGAGTTAATCTTTGAAAAAATTCGTTCCTAATTTGTTCATTTTAAATCGCTTAGTACCTAAAGGTAGGTAGGTATTAATTTCTTTTTTGATGCAAACTTTTTTATACGAAAGGTGAAAAGTCGTGACTATTGAATTTTATATAATTTTTTTAGTGAAAGAGGGTTTACTTTTCCTACCCTTTGTCAAATTTTAAAATCCGAACTACTTTTCAATGTTCATAAATACTTCATCCCCACCGTAGTTATAAACGTGTGATCATGTGAAGTCAGTTAATCGTAAAACTTTGCATGTGAACGCGGTTCAAACCCAGACATCATTGAAGGAAGATATTTTTGGGTAGATTCTTATTTTCAAAATACGTTTGTCACACACAGTTTTTATAAAAAAGCGAGCTTTTCCCAAGTTAAGCACCTAATGGAAGTAGCACAGATAGACAGACGATTAAAGGGGAAAGAATGGCGAATTTTTGGAAATTATTATAGTTTTGTTACATCAAGGGATTTCCACCAAAGCAATTTTCCAGGCGCACACAAATAAAGCACAAACACACATTTTTTGTAATATTAATACCCATATGTTGAGGTACAGGTACTACCATGGTACCACCAAATCCTTTGTGGACCTATAGTCAGGGCCGTGCGGTACTATGATGCAGAGAGGCGGCCGCATCAGGCGGCAACGTACAGGGGCGGTAATAGCAGTATTTTTTAACCACCAGAGCAATAATATAAGCTGAAGCTAATTTTCAGAATAGTTAATTGTACTGTTTTGAGTTTAGTTGGTTAGTTTCCCTTCCCCTTATCGTCGTCTATAATACAAAACTTTATTTTATAGCAGAAGCCATATAAATCATTGTAAAGCTTCTGACAATTCTGAATTTAATTTAGACACGTCAAAAATAGCAAGCTTAGGTTCTGCCGTCGCGTTTCCATAGAAACAGTATTGTCATATTATATTCTGCTTTTGAAATAAGAATTGCAGGTGTCATTAGAATGCACGATCATGTGTTTCACTTTACGGTTAAAAGTGATCACTTTATCTATCCTTACGGTTAAAGAACGGCTTCGCCTACTCATTCAAACCTATTAAAATGTTAATTTAACATATTCTATAAAATAAAAAATATATAACATCTTAGTGTATCTATTCTTACGCTATGAAAACATATACCGTTACTTTAAAAACCAGGGAGAATCCAAATGGCTTATTTTTTAAACTAACCTCACAGCCGACTTAAACACAACCTAAAACTGACGTAACAATCTTAAATTACAATACACCACTTGTGACACCTCTCTGGAAAGCCTGTTAAACGTTCTTTTCACTGGTCATAAAAAAGCATGGTAAACTCAAAAACTAACCTCAATTTTTTATTAGTATTTTTCATCGGGTTTTTTGATTAATTTATAAAATAGCTTATGGCGGGGAACAAACAATTGAAATTATTGAAAGAAACCTCATTAGGATTCTCCCTAACTTTTACAACAACCACATTTATCATAAAAAATATAGCCATTGTAAATTTTCGACGGCCCATACTGTATAACTCATATAGGTATTGAAATATATTTTGGATATTACTCTTAATTCGCTGATGGAGCGATTTACTCTTCTGGAACTCTATATGGAAAAGTCTATATATGACAAAAAAAATTGTCGCGGTAATGTGGAATCAATAGGTAGGTACTTGCGGCTCAAAACGAATCAGACATAAATGCAAGTGATTTACTTAAAAATACAAAAACACTTTCACATTGCCACATTTTGAGCTCTACAAAGCACCGTTGAGAGATTTTCAATACACCATTTCGCTTCGGAGAAATCATCATCAAAACTTTATTTTTTTATACGGCCCGTACAAAAAGCACACACTGCATTGAATAGCAATTTTATGCTTTATGGCTCAGTGGTAGAGCGTTGGGCTATAAATCCGGAGGTCGAGTGTTCGAACCTGGGTTGAGGTGAATTTTTCATCTGTGGCAGAGATGGGAATTACCTTAGACCAATTTCGAGCATTCTGCCGGCTGCTCCGAATTAGGTTTTCCTGCAGGTTTTCCTAATTCGTAAGGTAAATACCAGAGTAGTATAGAACACCTTAAGACCTTCTGCAGAGGCACATCTAAAAAGCATTATGCGGGTCACTCTGTAATTGGGCGCAAGCATGTTGAGGGCCCAGAACAAGAGAGGGATAATAAATAAATAGATATACGGCACATAGAAAAATGGGAAACTGCTTGTTTCAACAGGATGGTGCACTCACGCAGAGCTCAAAAAGTAGCAATGAGAAAGTGTTTTTTTGTATCTGTAAAAAGAAAGCAAATCGGCAAATTTTGGTTGTTCTAGCATATCTTTGTAAGTAATCGGAATTTTCTGGTTTTCTTTAAAGCATGATAATAACTCTTTAATCGGCATATTTTCTCTAATTTGACCATCGTCGTACCTTCTATGGTTTCGGAGATCCCTATGATAGACATCCTTACCTTGGACACAGTGTATTTTCCACGTTGCTGACGTTACTTTTTCTAGCAGGTCTTTTTACATGTTTAAGTAGTTTCAAAATCAAGGAAAACCCAATGTCATAAATCAAGGTGTGACAAACTCGTAGGTCAACGACCTTGGGAAAAACGTGAGGTTAAAGTCCAAGACCAACACCTTCGGGAAAACCCGTAGCCAAAGACCAAGGTCCCGACCTTGGGAAAACCCGAGACCAAAGTCACAGGTCATGACCTTAAGGAAAACCCCGAGGCCTGTTGTTTTAGAATGCGAATTAGCTTTCTAATTTAAGTCAGTTTGCGGCTGTTCCGGTGCGCGCGCGTAGGCACATATTATTACTACCAGTTTTAACAGCTTCGCCATCATCTTACTCTTCAAGTTACGCCAGTATGGTGGTAACTGTACATCACTGCTTATGTGTGATTTTGGTTCCCCTTCTTTGTAAAAATGCATAATTTGTAATTTTTTAAGAACAGTTTAGGTTTTTTGCAATACAGCACCTTTTGCTGATCACCTTATTTACTATGGCACGCTTTGGTTTTGCATTGTACGCACTCATCTCAGAGATTACAATAAGCTCCAGGCTTGGTTACGGTACCAATGCCACGACCTTGCACAACAAACACGGTCACTCCTTAGCTACGCAAAAGGCGAAAATCCCAAGACCGCAACTTTGTGACGTAATCAGGGGAAATCCCATGGTCACGACCTTGGGGCAAAGTCGTAAACTTAAGGCCATAACCTTGGCCCAGAAGCTCCGCCTCGGACTTTGCAAAATCCCAGCGTTATGACTTTAGGGGAATCCCAGGGTCATGTCCTTGGGAAATTCCAGCGCAATGATCTTAGGAAATCCCAGGGACATAACCTTGGGAAACCCCAGGGCCATGACCTAGGGAAATCCAAGGACCATGACTTTGGAAAGCACCAGGGCCATGACCTTGGGAAATTTCGGGAAAAGTCCAAGACCATTCGACGTCACATAACCGTGGGGAAACCCAAGGTCATGAGCTTGTGACGTCACAAAATCCAAGATGGCGGAAAGTGCCTTTGCTCTACTCATGTATAAAAACAAAATGAATGCTTGTTTTGAAGTGGGCCCGTTTCGTATTTGGGATTCGGCAAAAATAAAAATCTGATGGAGAGCGGAATCCTTACTAAAAACTTTCGAAGATAGCCTATCAAGCGCTGCACTTTTAGATCGCGTAAAACAATATTCTTCGCCAAGCGTTCAAAGCGAATATTGTGAGTCGTGCGCGTCATTTTTGAGATCACGTAAAATTTCATTGTTTAGTGAAAGTTCCCACCGAGAGTCGTAAACTAGCGTGTGTAAAAGACTCGTTAGCCATGCAACCGAAGGTTTGTGCCATCATTTTTTGACTAAATTATAGTCTTGTTTACCACGAAAGCGTTGGAGTCTAAGGTGTGGGTACTTGTAGTGCGTACCATAAATCGAAAAAACCTACCACGGATACGGTCGATTTCCTCGAAATTTTTTGTTTATAATTAACCGAGAACCAAAAGCAACCGCAAGTAACTACAACCACGACCATGTTTCAATATATGTTTGATGTGCGGTACCTACGTACTCTTCGTTGCGCTCTTTTTTAGAGTGGCTAGTTACGTTGAAAATTCAGTTTCTTAATCAAAGTTGTACACTTAAATTGTTTATACGATATGCTAATAGAATTATAAACATAACGGCAACCGCTAAAAAAGTTAAAGGCGATTAATTTGTACTTTCTGCTGCGACAGACCCAAAAGTTATAAGGGTGATATTGAACATTTTCATACTTACCATAAAGCTAAATTGAAACTAATAAATTGTGAGGAACGTGAAGCACAGTTGTGCCGGATTCAAAATCGTCAATAATTTCGCGAGTTTCGCTTTTAACGAGTAACTAAATAGAAGGCGTTTTTCGCCTGTAGGTACTTACTTTTCCGCCATCTATTTATTTTACATGCTTCTTGTATTTTTACTTGTTAACAGATTTCCGGAAAAAAATTCTAGTGTCATCGTCTTCGTTCCTTCTTTAAGTGCCTTCCTCCATACATTACATTCCCTTCCATTTTATACTCTATCCATCCTATGAATCCCATCTAGCCTCCTCTTTTTCCAGG